CTCATGTCCCCCTGCTTGGGGCCCCGCCTCAGGGGGTTTCCCCAGCCTCAGTGACCCCCTTCCTGAGCAGCAGCTTGGGCCCTGGGCAGGCTCCAGGAGTAGACCCTCTGCACTGCCCCTTCCTCTGTGGGCCTCTGTCCGGATGTCCCAGCCCCCTCGGCCTCCCCCAGGTCTGGTCTATGGGCTGGAAGTTTCCTCCAGGGAGCAAGTTGGGCGGTCAGGGCCTCCCTTGGCCGTCCCCTTCGCTCCAGGATCTCCTGCCGGTGCTGCCCGCATCCACTCTCAGAAAAGCCTTGTTGGGCGTTTTGTCTGGTGCCTTAGTTGTTGCCAGATGGTCCATCCAGCCCTGATGTAGGTGCCTGCTTGTGAAGGGGCCAAGAGGATTCAATGACATGGCCTATATCTGTCCATTTGTCCTTCCATCCATATGGCAAATTTTTCCTGGACTCAGGTGGCCCACTGTGGCCTCCTGACGGGGGAAAGGCCAGCCCCCTCTGAGTGGAGTAGAGGGCGTGAATCACCGACCCGAACACCAGAATCCCTGGACAGAATGTCAGAGGTGGCTGCAGCACACCCGGGCTGCGTCCTCCTGGTGTCAGCCTGCAAGCCCCCAACGGGCTCGGAAAAAAGGAGGCTGCAAACGTGCGTACCACCTAGCAGGGAGAATGTGGGCCTTGGAGGTGGACATGCGGGGTTGAATCCTGGCTCCCCATGAGTTTGGGTGAGTCATTTGACCCCCTCTGGGACTCGAGGTTTGTGGTGGAGTTTAGCCATAATAAGCCTAAAACACACTCTCAGTTCGTGGCCCACAGCACGTGTTTCAGGTGCCACATGGTACCCCTGGTCCATGGTACCCCTGTTGGGGTGCTGCTGGGTCCCAAGTCTTCCCCAGCCGTGGAGGCTGCTAAGTCAGGGGAAGTGTGTGCATGCTGTTCTCAGGGGTCCTGGATCTTCTTCTTTCGATGTGCACTGCCTACAGGAGTTTGGAAGTTGTTGGCCTGGGGCCTCGAGGCTGCCCTGCCCCTGTTTCCCTGGAGCCTTCAGGTACAGCCAGCATCAGACCAGTGGGCCTCCCTGTGCTACATGGCGTGTGGCGCTGCTGGTATGAGCAGGTTCGTGGCTGCTTCTGGTACCACCAGCCCCCTAGACCACTCCTTGGGGTCAGGTGCAGGCCTGTGCTGGAGTTTAAGTCTCGAATGCACCCAGTGGACACCCAGCGACCTCCAAGTGAGAGTCCCCATTGGCGCCCACTGCAGCTTGCCAGTTGGAGGAGAAAAAAGCCCAGATGGTCCTGCCTCCCCCCCCAACTTGTTCGACAGTGGAGGGAGGAGGCTGGGGGCCATGTCTCCAGGTACTGAGAGCCACGTCCATCAATATGACCAACCCAGCAGGTGAGGTTTCCAGAGTGGCCCACGGCATTTGGGGTTCCCCTTGGCCTGCCCCTCCTCTGAACCTGACTGAGAATAAGGGCGAGAGCCGGTGAGTTACCACGTGGCAGGCTTCATTCCAGTAGATTCTTAGAGGTGACAGGGCTGGATGTGCTTTGAGTCTTTGAAATAAGGTGTATCTGCTGCACAGTAAATACCTGTGAGCTTTTGTTTAGGCGAATAAAACCTTCACTTTGCTCTAAACTCAAATCCCCATTCCAAGTAGCACCCCACAACCAAACAACACGTGCTGACGGCCACTTTGGTGGATGTTGGAGACACAAAAGCCGTTTTAGTACATTTTAGAACTCTTTGGAAAATTCAGTTTTTTTTTTTTTTTTTGGAGTAAGACTGGCCCTGAGCTAACATCTGTACCAGTCGTCCTCTATTTTGTATGTGGGACGCTGCTACAGTGTGGCTTGATGAGTGGTGTGGAAGTCCGTGCCTGGGATCTGAACCCACGAACCCAGGGCCACCAAAGTGAAACGTGCGACCTTAACCACTATACCACCGGGCCAGCCTGAAAATTTGCTTTCTTAAACCTTCTTGTAATGATTTTAATTTTATCATATTTTATTAAAATGCTGCTCCGCCTCCGAGCTGGGAGTTTGTGACAGGTAAGATGGTCACGTGACAGTGCACAGGACACCCCAAAAATCAAGAGACTCCTGAGAGGCAGCCCGGCTGGAGCCTTTGTTTCCTCCTGGAAACCTGATGGGGAGCACAGTGGCCAGCGGGCAGCTTGCCCGCAGGTGCCCCACGTGGAAGAGTCTGTACAAAGGGTCAAGGCTGTTGGCCCCGGCGTGGAGGAATGGATGGGTGGGAGCCACAGCCGGCTCAGGCAGCAGATGTTAGCCCAGACCACTGAGGGTGGGCTCTCCGGTGCCAGCAGACGTGCTTTATGACTGCAGCTGGTCATCAGCTGTTGGGCAGCGTGGGCCGAGTGCCATTAGAATACACCTCAGTCATTGAGTGGGCGTCAGGGCTCTGAGGGCGGCTCCTCGCTCTGTCCTAACGTCTTGCCAGGCGGGGCCCCTGTCCCCCCACCTGCACAGAGGCTGGCGGAACTTAGACAGTTCTTGTCTTGGTGCCTGTTTTTGTTAATGGCTGTAGACGGGTGGCCTGTGGGTAGTCACCCACATGTGTACAAGTGAATTGCTCTGTTGTTGACAAGAAGGACGTGGTCCTCCTGCTGGAGAGAAGAGACACCTTGAGAACCCAGGTGGCCGGAAGCCTGGTTCTATGATAACAGCCAGGCTGCGTGGGGACATGCACTGGAGGCCAGCTCTCCCGGCATTGTGTAGAAAAATCTGGGCTTTTAGCCTTTGGCCGACTTGTCCAGTGCGTAAAGTCTTGTTTTCAGTGCCCTTGGGGGGTGAGTGATGTTGCAAGAAAAGAGTCTTTCAAATAACTTCCTTTGTGGCTACCCAGCCAATTAAGTGCTTCACCAGGTGGCCCATAGGGAGCGTGTGGTCCAGGGGAGGGCGGCCTAGCACACTAGCGTCTGGGATGCTAACACACAGGTCGTCATCAGTCAGGCACCACGGGGCTGCCCTGATGTGGAATTTCTTCTGGGGAGGTGCACCCTCTCTGGTTCCTCTCCCTCATTATGTAAATCTGCTCTCACGTCCTCACCATCATCATGACCCCTGTCCCCCAAGACCCTGGAGGACACAGGCCTTGCCATGTGTGGACAGGAGACACACACGGTGCTAGAGTTAGCCCGGGCTGACCCCTGTGTGGAGGTCTGGGCCAAGAGACCTGGGGGCACAAGAGCCAAGCCCCCACACTCTCTCCTCTGCACTTTGAACCTACTCTTCCCTCCGCCGGAAGCACCCCGCCTTCCTTGTGTGAATGATCGAGTGATGTCAGTAGAGAGCTTGTAAATGACACCAGGCAGGGGCGCTTAGCCTTTGCTGTGCTGCCCTTGTGCCTGCTGCTATTTCCGTTCAACCCACTTATGTCACTCTCGCATGGTTGACAGACAGGAACTTCTCCCCTGCTTGGTCAGGGATCCTCTGTGTGTTCAGGCAATATTGCTCAAAGCCAAGTCTTCAGAAAAGGTCCTCTGTGAGTCTGCGGGCAGGCCTCAGCGTTGTGGGTTTATAGCCTGTAGCGCTTAGCATTTTAGGGGTACAGTCAGGAGTGTTCGCACTCCACCCAAGAAGTTCTCTTGAGCTGTCTACAGTCACTCCCTGCTCCCACCCCAGCCCCAGGCACACACTGGTCTGCTTTCTGGCTCTTTAGTTTTGCTTTTTCTGGGAACTTGTATAAGTGGAAACACACAACGTGTGGTGTCACATGTTGGACTCCTCTCACTTAGCCAGCGACTTCAAGGTTCATCCATGTTGTGTCCATCAGGAGTTTGTTCCTTTTATTTTTTGTGAGGAAGATCAGCCCTGAGCTAACATCCATGCCAATCCTCCTCTTTTTGCTGAGGAAGACTGGCCCTGGGCTAACATCTGTGCCTATCTTCCTCCACTTTATATGGGATGCCACCACAGCATAGCTTGACAAGCGGTGCATTGGTGCGTACCCGGGATCCGAACCCAGGCCGCCAGCAGCGGAGTGCACGCACTTAACTGCTACACCACGGGGCCGGCCCCAGGAGTTTTTTCCTTTTTATTTCTGGTAGTATTTTGTTGTTTCTCTGTCCACCAGTTGATGGACATTTGGGTTGTTGCTTCTTTTTGGATACTAAGAGTAACTCTGCTGTGCACATTTGTGTATGAGTTCTTGCATAGATGTATATTTTCATTTCTCTTGAGTCTGTCCCTAACATCCGTGCTAATCCTCCTCTTTTGGCTCAGGAAGACCGGCTCTCAGCTGACATCTATTGCCAATCCTCCTCCTTTTTTTTCCCCAAAGCCCCAGTAGATAGTTGTATGTCGTAGTTGCACATCCTTCTAGTTGCTGTATGTGGGACGCGGCCTCAGCATGGCCGGAGAAGCGGTGCGTCGGTGCACGCCCGGGGTCCGAACCCGGGCCGCCAGTAGCGGAGCGCGTGCACTTAACTGCTAAGCCACGGGTCTGGCCCTGGATCCACGTTCTTTTTAAAATTCCGCCAGAAGGCGGATCTCTGAATAGCTGAAGCTTGAAGTATTTTGAGTTTTTTAGTATATTTTTTCTTGTGACATTTGGAAATTCCTCCGCCCCAAGCACAGTGACAAACTGCTCTGAAGCTGCGACGTGGGAGCTGGGCAGGCGCTGGGCTCTGTCCTGCCAGTGTGTTGAGGTGGTGGTGGGGTTTCCTGGCTGGCGGTGTTCATCCATCCTGTTTCTGAGGGGGTGTCTGAGGTAGGACCGCCTGGGCTGATGTTGGCTTTGGGAGAACAGTGAGGGCTGTCCATTGCCTGTGTCTCCTCTCTTGGCTCTCAGGTGGCCCCAGCCTTGTGCCGTCCAAGGAACTCCTGTTGATCCTTCAAAGCTCTGTTCCAGCTGATCTTTCCTGTAATTTTCAGACTTGTGTGTGTTTTCTCTCGCCCCTCCTGAGAACACTGTCTTTATGAAAGAAGTGAGTCTTTGGATTTCTAGATATCTTTATTGACATTTTCCCATTTTGCTTTTTTCTAGGATTCTATTTCGCTGAGACCGTCAATTCGATTTCAGGGAAGTCAAGGGGTGAGTCTTTTTTGCCTCAATCATATTTGGAATTGTGGAACCAGTGCACTCTCTGGCCTTCATGGCTTGCTCGGCACAGCAGCAGTCTGGGGACAGTGTTTGGCCCCATCCACCTCTGTGACAGGCCAGGTCCTGTGCCAAGCTGAGGTCTACTTCTGGATGCCCCCAGGCTGGTCCCATGGCTGGGGCCACACCAACAGGCCATCTGTGGGCTGAAGGCAGCTCTCTTGTCCAGTGGCCCCTCAGAGTCCTGCAGAGTCACCACGTGTCTACGTCAGTTTTTACCTGACGGCTGGCTGGCTCCTTACAGAAGGGGGGTTCTGTGGGTTTCACCCTAGCCAGGGTGCTCCGGAGAGACAGCCTCTAAGAGGTACTTGTGTCTGTGTGTGCAGATACAGACATACCAGGAGATGTGTTGCAGGGCATTGGCTCACGCGGTTGTGGGCTGGTGAGTCTGAAATCTGTGGGGCAGGCAGGAGCCAGCACCGCGGTCCACAGGCGAGCTTCTGCCTCCTCAGAGAGACCTCAGTTTCCCTCTTACGGCCTTCAGCTGATTGGATGAGGCCCACCTGGACCATTGAGGGTCTCTTTCTTCACTTAAAATCAGCTGGTTGTGAATGTCACAACGTCTGCAGAACACCTGCAATGCATACCCGGATAAGCGTCCGTGGTGTCACCGGGGGCTTTGGCCTGGCCAGAGGGACACCAAACCGACCATCACACCAATGCCTGTCAAAGTCAGTGAGATGCCCCCAAAAGGCCCTAGGCCCTCTGGCCCTGTTGTCTCCTCTGGGGTATCTGCACCTCCATCAGCCCCATTGGGGTCTTGTTTTCACCCTTTTGCCGTCTCCCCTTTATCTTCCCTGGGACATTTCTCCAGGGGTTGGAGGTCAGTGTTGGGGGTGGGGCTGGCCTGGGCTTGCTGCCAGACTGGCCTCATGGCGCCCTCTAGTGCCCATAGTCATGCCATGCCCTCAGCATCAGGAAGACGGGAAGTCACTGCACAGAAAGGGCCACTATTATCAGTGTTTGCTTATGCAGTGAGCAACGCTTTCAAGACACCACACTGTCACTAACAGAAGCCACAGAAGCACCATGAGCTTGTGGGCTGTTCCCTGTGTCGCCCGAATTCCTATGGAAAGCCCGAGAACCACGTCCATGCAAGAGTTAGGGGTCCCTCCACTTTAGTTTTAGAATCACACTTTGCCTGCTTTTCCTTCCTCCTGGGCTTTCTCGTGTGTAGCAGAGTTTCTAGAAGGTACCTACGGGACGGAGGCCCTGTGCTGCAGCTCCAGGTGAGCCAGGTCACAGTTCTTCACCAGGAGGCTATTCCCTATGTGAGCCTGTATGAGGGCTGGAGGGGGCTGTGTGGTAAGGGGGGCGCTGTTCTTCCCCGGCTTGCTGTGTAGGGTTGGGTGTGCTAGGTCTGCCCCTGTGATCTCTGGACCTTGTCCTCCTCCTTCTGGGCATTGATGGGATGCGTCCCCTCCTCCCTGCCAGATGTGAAGGGCCTGGCCTGGTGCTGGGCATGCAGCAGACACTTTCCTGGCCAGGCCACATCTGCATGGTCAGTCAGACTGGCGGCGGGGAGGAGGCAGCGTGCTTCAGCTCTCCCTCCCACTTCCGGTCGCTCCGCTGCCTGCACACAGCCTGGCCTCGTGGCGGGGCTCTGCTCTGTGCACTCCACTTGGAAGGTTGGAGATGGAGCAGGAAGCCAGTGGGGTGGGGTGAAACAGGCTCATTAGGGGCACAGGCTGATTCCATGTTCAGGGCCCCATGTAAGATGACAGGGACCTGCACTCCAGAGGCCCATGAAGCTGACGGACTAAAGATTGAGACCCCATCTGTAGGCTCCTTTGCTTGGGGACCTCGGACAGTTCTCTCTCTCTCTCTCTCAGCCTCTTCGCCCACGAAATGGGGACTTGTCCCCTTCGGGGGTCGTGAACGCACTCTTAGCTCCTGGTGCGCATCCCCCTCAGATGTGAGTGTAGTACAGCTGGCGTAGGATCACGGTGTCAGGCACCTCCTGGGTGGGGAGTCGGCCTATGCCGGGAGCCCCATGAGAGCCGAGCCTTGGTGGTGTGTGCCAGGCCCTGGTGTTACCTGGGTCCTTGGAGCGACTCTACAGCATTTGCCAGGTTCTCCAGAGAACCTGGCCCCACCTGTAGTGTGTTCAGCCTCTAGAGCACTGTGTGCCAGAGCAAATGCTCACCTTTGTTTCTTTTGCTGTGTACATGTTTCTGGTTGTGTTCTCGGTTGTCTCACGCACACTGAGCTGGCTGGCCTGGGCACCTCTGCTGTCGGGGAGTCATTTCTAAGTTGTTAACCCCTGACAGTGGATGAAGCGTCAGCCTCCAGAGGGGAAAAGAAACCCCCATCTGGCCAGCCCCACCCCGAAACTCTTTAGTTGATTGAAAATGAAAGAGAAGTAGGATTGGCATCTAGGTCTGTTCAGGATCTTGGCGTTACCCTGTGCTGCAGTGTGAGCCCGAAGTACAGTTTCTAGAACGAGGTTTGGCAGCACTGGTCAAAACCTTGTGACCAATGTCTGTGTGTTTAGGAACCGAGTCTGCAGGAGCAGTTAGGGGTGTGCGCAAGATAGAGCCACAAGGGTGCTTGTTGCTGTGTCGTTTGTAACAGGGAAAATTTGGAAACCATCTAAAATGGGGATTGCGGAGTCCGGAGCCATCCGTGTGCCAAGGTTGAGCAGCCGGAGACCTCGGGAGGCCGTGCGCAGGCGGGTGGCGGGGGCTGGGCACTGGCTCTTCAGAGTGTCCATGGAGAGGAGAGCGAGTGTGGCTCTCGGAAGGGAAGTAGGTGCTTAGAAAGCGCCCTGGGTTTGGGGTTGAGGAAGTGAAGCTTCCCACCGGGCGGAAGAGGCTGCATTGCTCTTGGAAGTCACATTCAGCCGCGCAGCAGTAACTCTCTACCCAGAATATATTTCATTCTGAGGGTTCCCTGGGAAGTGAAAATAATGAGGACAACATGCCCTGAAAACCCCTCTGGCCAGAGTCTGGTCAGTCAGTACTTGGGTTCCTGTGTGTGCCTGCTTCATCTTTTTACCTGATGGAATATCCAGGGCTTGCCCCAACCCCCTCTGGGAGCTTGGTGTGTCTCATCAGCGCTCCCACCTGCACCGCACACACACGAGGACCTGCAGATCTAGGGGAGGGCAGTGGGCCCCACTTGGGACAGATTTCAGAGGGAGGAGGTGAAAGGCCTCTGGCAGGGACCTGACCTGCCCACAGTGGAACCAGCGCCCCCTCGCAGGTGTCAGGCCTCAGAGGCGCTTGGGACCATCTGGGATGGATGGGACGAGCCTATTTACCTCTCTAGGCCGGTCTCTGCACACAGTTGCAGGCTTAGGTTTGTAGCAACTCCCCTGCCCCTTAAGCTGGTGTCAGGGCTGACATCAGATGCACCCAAACCTGCTGCACTCGGGCCAGCTGAGGGCCCTGTGGCGGCCCCTATGGGGCAGTTGAGACTGGGTCCGGAAGTCACATGTGCCAGCCGAGTGGCCACATCCCAAAACACGTGCCAAACTCTCCGCTGGAGCAGAGAAAGCCGTGAATTCCTGGGCCATTCATACCCAGCTGGCTGGTTTCACTCTTGCTTCCCAGAGACTGGTTAACCATTAACCAGCATCGCTAACCAGCAGTAAACCAGCCCATTAACCAGGGGATTCCATGGGCAGTGGAGGTGCCGTGAAGCTGGAGAGACACTGGGACTGCGAGAACCTACTGTGCCAGGCTCCGAGCAAACCTCTCCCCTTGCCCCCTCCCTCAAGTGTCTCCTTCCCCTGTCCCTTGGCTGTCCTAAAGGACCCTGGCCACAAGCATGGTTGCTGCTGCCCGGACAGGCTGAGGTAGGGCCGTCACTGTCCTGGCAGCATGGCTGAGTCAGCCTCGCTGTGTCAGGCCCACTGTGCCTCTGTGTGCTCTGCCCTGGTCTCACCACCAGCTCTCTGCTGGGCCGCAGGGCACATCCTGGAGCTGTCACGGATGGGCCCCAGCACGCCTGCCCAAGGGCTTCCTGCACCTCTGTGTCCTCGGGCAGTTGTCCCCCTTGTCTTGAAGCGGGGGAGCGAGGGCCCCCAGCGTGTGCGAGGGCCTGTCATGGCTCTGGCCACACAGTTTCAGAGTTTGGTTTTGTGGCTGGAGCTGGGGTGGACCCACCCTCCCTGCCCGCCCAGGTGGGTCGAGTCTGCCTCAGACAGGGCTACACAGGCTCAGGTGGGTGGTGCCCAGGGTCCATGAGTGCCTTGGGACTCAGGCCAGATCTGCCTCCCCTCCTCTCAGGGCTGACGGCCCAATGGGGACTGGTGCCCTCAAGGCCGCACTGCGCCCTGAGCTGATAGGGAAAGATGCGGCCAGGGGAGGCTGGGTCTCTGGCAGAGCCAGGATCAGGTGAGGGAGAGGATCAAGGATGGGACAGAGGAAGAGCCGCCCATGACAGAGTTCGGGTTCCATCAGAAGCTCCTTTTGATTTTGTTGACTTGGTGGTGCACGGGCTTCCTGCCGTATTCTGGGCTGCTGTGTCCATGTGCACCTGGCTGTGGGTGTGTCCCCCGAGGCGACCCTCACAGGCTCAGCCTCGACATCTGGGTGGTGTGTTTCCAGCTGCTTCTATAATTGAAATCAAAAGTCACATCCAAGAAGGGACGAGTGGGCAGCACAGGGTGGCTATGAGTTCTGGACGAGGAGATGCCGCATGCAGGTGGGACGGGGCTCAGCTGCCCAGGGCCACCCACACGGCTCCGGCAGAGGCTGCAGATAGTGTGTGTGCACATGTGTGTACCTGTGTGTTTGTGCATATACACTTGTGTACATGTGTGTTTTCCTGCCCGAGGTGAGCCATCGGAGGCATTCTGGGGTTTATTTTCTAGATGCTGGGTCGCACAGTGTTTTGGGCCAACTTGTGTCCACTGCTTCCATTGTCGGTCTGCGTACTACCCCGAAGGGCAGGGTGAAGGGGAGAAGTACCCCTGAGCCTCAAGCCGTCATGTTCTCGATCTCAGGGACAAGGCTCAGACAGGCCGAGCTGCCCATGTTCACGTGTGACAGCTGGGCTGGGGACAGGGGGATTCAGCCTCGGCCGTGTTCTATCTGGTGCTGATGAGGTATGTTGGTATCTTCACATCACTGGAGAGGAAGCGGGACTTGAAGTGCTGGGGTGGCACAGCAGCCCCCCCCACCCCCATTATGCTGCCCCTCTTGATGATCACTTGTGTCCCCTGCCTAGCTGTGACAAGCTCCTGCACTCAAACACAGGGATTACTTTATGTGGCGTCACCGTGGTGACAGAGGGTTCTGGAGGGCCTTCCTGTGCCCTGCACAGGGACTGGCAGCTGGAGTGTGGGGTCCTCCCGACCACCTTCCTCAGCAGCCCCCAGGCCTTCACCTGGCGTGGGCAGGGGCCAGAGGGTCAGCCTAGAATGCAGTGGCCTCTGGGCATGATGCTGTCCTTTCTGCACTGAGCCAGGCACCTTGGCTGGGACTAGTGCTATCTGTCTGTGTGCTGGCCAGGGTGTCTGTCAGTTCTCCCGGGAGGGCTGTGGTTCCTGGCTGGGCTGCAGAGGCACTGTCTGAACATGTGTCCTATGCCTCGGTGTGTTGGGGGAGTGCTGCCCACCTGTGAGCCCTGCAGGGCCTCTGCCTGCCTTGTTCATGGCCACGGGGTGGTGAACGGACACTCCAGTGGAGTCTGTGCCAGCATGGAGGAGGCGGAGAGGGCGTCACTAAGCCAGAGTGAGGGTCAGAGCATCTTGGCTGAGCGCAGTTCATCTTCCAGAGTGTCCCAGGCCAGATCTGCCCTGTTTGGTGGGGAGGGAAACCGAGTCATGGCCCAGATCATGGTTGGGTACCTGCCTCCAGGCGTGTCCTGAGTGCTTTGTGTTCCTCAGATTGTGATGCCATTGCTGCGTAGAAGCTAGACTTGGGCTCGCTTCCCCTTGGGAACTGAGGACCCTGAGTTTAGTTAAGGGCAAGGATGGGGACAGGCCGGGCCACTGGTCCTGTCACTGCCAGGAAAACAAAGGGGTGTTTGAAAAGAGAGCGCTGGCACTTTCCCACTGGAAGGGTCATGCTGCGGGGATGGGCCAAGGTCCCAAGGTCCCCTCCGTAGCACCTCCTGGTGACGTCCCCCTCTCCACACAGCACATCTCCATCCCCCAGCCCGATTGCCCTGCGGAAGCGCGGACCTTCTCCTTCTACCTCTCCAACATCGGCCGCGACAGTCCCCAGGGCAGCTTTGACTGCATCCAGCAGTATGTGTCCAGGTAAGGTCCTGCCCCAGCTGCCCCAGGTGTCCTGATGGGCAGACCCTCCCCCCACAGCCCACTGTGCAGACGTTTGCCCACCGCCTCTGGCACCGGCAACCCATTCTCTCCAGCGAGCCTCGCTGCCCCTTTCAGTGTGTCCAGGGCGAGAGCAGGTCCTGGTGCCCGCATTCCCTTGTTCTTCCGGGTCAGGATTGCCCTGTGGAAGCCAAGTTGCCCGACTCAGCACTGAGCCCTGTTTCCCAGCTGGGTGGGGGTGTGGGCCCTGAGACTGTCCTTGGCATCTGAGTTGTTCGTCCTGACTCCTGGCCCTTGTCTTGCAGCCATGGGGATGTCCACCTGGACTGCCTGGGCAGCATCCAGGACAAAGTCACAGTGTGTGCCACCGACGACTCCTACCAGAAAGCGCGACAGAGCATGGCGCAGGCCGAGGAGGAGACGCGGAGCCGCGGTGCCATTGTCATCAAGCCTGGAGGCCGCTACCTGGGTGAGTATGGGGCCTGGGGCTCCACCATGGGGGCTCGTGCCTGCCGGGCAGCTGTCGGGGGGAGCAAGAGGGACTCGAGGCCGGGCCAGGCCGGGAGCAGGAGTGATGGGTTAACATAGGTATGGCCCCCAAGTAGGCCCAGCGGGATCAGTGTCAGGTGAGGAAGGAAGGTGCTGCTGCGCCAGCTGCATTGGCTGGAGACTGTGGCATCTCTTGCCTTCCGAACCCCGAAGTGGACTAAGGGGCCCCAGAACTCCAGGAATTCTGAATCTGAGGGCCCCTCTCCCAGGGTGCTGCCTCGGGGACCTCTGCCCATCAGAGACGAATGTACTCCATGAAGGCAGGGCTGCCGTGTGTCCTCTGGCTGCCACCCCTGCCCTCATCTGGCTCCTCCCCGAGGCCAATGTGGCCGGGGGCAAAGTGCAGACGGTGAGATGCACCCCACAGTGGGCAGCCTGTTGCTGTATCGCAACCGGGAAGGAAAGGTGTTGATTCTTTGCTTGATGGGAAGCCTCTGGCAGCTCAGCATCTGCTTGGAAACAGTTTTGGTGAAGTTGAGGCACCGACAACATTAAAAGTGGAGAGAACAGTACTGTTTATTTAGAAAGCTCCATCATCCTACTGCAGTCTTCCCGCCTCCTGGACCCAGATGGAGTTCAAGAGTCTTCAGAATTCATTGCTGGGGAAGAAGTGCGTCAGGCCTGAGAGAGGTGTGACATGGCTTCTAGCAAACCAGAACCTTAATGGCTCTCTGGGTTTTTTCTTTTTTAAGAAAAGGTGAGGGGATTTCAAACCCCCCCAAAGAAGCATGTGATTTCACTTGCTCGGCAGTGGCGTTGGCTCTGAACGAAACCCCAGATATCAGTGCAGCTGTCAGTCGTGCTAGTCAGTGCTGGGTCCCCATCAACCTGGCCAAGTGTGTCCAGGGAGCCCACGCCCTGGGCCGTGAACTGCCACCAGAATCCCAACATGCTTCACCTGCCTGCTCTCACCGCAAGATGCAAATGTGGATATTTGTACACATTGTAATAAATTTGTGGGTCCTTTGGCCAAACACTTGGTCAGAAGTTTGTCTCGTACTACTTTGGGTACAATGAGGGTTTTTGCAGCGGCTTACGTTCTTTTGGAAACACTCATCTCCTGGCCTCTGAAGCCGCAGCCGTGCATGTCTGGCTGTGTTGGGTCTCTCCCCTAATCTGTGTTGACCCACCAGCCAGGTCCTCTGGGGACGAAGTCCGGTTCTGAGGATTCTAAAAGCACTTCTTCCTGAGCTAATTTGACAACTCAGATATGAGGAATAAGAGCAAAAGGGCGTCGTCATGGAGAGAGCTTTTTGGCTGGAAGACTTGAGGCGAGCGCTGACTTGACTCCCGTTCCCAGGTGGCAGGGACGCCATCCCAGGCGGAGTTAATGACTCTGAGTGGAGGTGCCGTCCCTGGGGAGCAGTACTGGAGGCTCATGGAGGGGCAGCCGTTTGACCCCCTACCTGTTGCTGTCTGTACCGGGAGGGTGGGGGAGCACCCCACTGTCCCTGGGGCTCTGGGCACAGCACCATCTGCCCAAGGAGCACCTGGGGCCACAGCAGGGGATTTGCTCGCACCCCGAGGTCTCCAGAGCAGCTGCCCAAGCAGCTCTGACGCCTTTATGCACACCTCCGTTTTCATCAAAGAGCGTGGCAGATCCCATGGGGCCGTTGTGGTACTGTGACGTGCAGGCTCTGGAGGCGCCTGTCTCTGGCAGTTCAGGGACCCTGCCTTTTTTTTTTTTTTTTTGAGGAAGATCAGCCCTGAGCTAACATCCATGCTAATCCTCCTCTTTTTTGCTGAGGAAGACCAGCTCTGAGCTAACTGCCATTGCAAACCTCCTCTTTTTTGCTGAGGAAGACCAGCTCTGAGCTAACTGCTATTGCCAATCCTCCTTTTTTTTTCTTTTTTTTTCCCCCAAAGCCCCAGTAGATAGTTGTATGTCATAGTTGCATATCCTTCTAGTTGCTGTATGTGGCACACGGCCTCAGCATGGCCGGAGAAGTGGTGCATTGGTGCGCGCCCGGGATCTGAACCCGGGCCGCCAGTAGTGGAGTGCGCGCACTTAACTGCTAAGCCACGGGGCCAGCCCCAGGGATCCTGCCTTTTTAACATCAGTCCCCTCTCCCCATAGTGGTCAGGCATTTTGGGTCCCCAGCATTTAGGCTGCCTGTGATGAAGTCAGTTGAGGCTGTAAGCACACTTCTACTTCCTGCAGCCCCCACTTCTGGGACTGGGGACCCTGCAGGTGCCTGGTGAACCATGTGTGCTCAGCAGGTGGTATGCTGGGCCAACCAGCGTTCCCACCAAGCAGACCATGCTGGACGCAGCTCAAACTGTCTTCCCCTTGGGCTTGGCGTGGGCGTGGGCTGTTAGCCGTCACTTTCATGTCTCAAGCCTGTGGGCGTCCATCTGTCTGCTTGCTTGGAAACTTGGTGTTGCCCAGGCAGTGGAACACCTCAGCCACCCCCTCACCCCCTCTAGTCTCTAACGCCCTGGCTCTCGTTTTGCAGGTAAGAAGGTTCAGTTTCGGAAACCAGCCCCAGGGGCGACAGATGCTGTGCCCTCTAGGAAGCGGGCGACCCCCATCAACCTGGCCAGCGCCATCAAGAAGAGCAGCGTTGGTGGTGTTAGTGGGGGCAGTGGGGTGTCTCAGAGGCCCTTCCGTGATCGGGTGCTACACCTCCTGGCACTGAGGCCTTACCGGAAGGCCGAGCTGCTGCTGCGGCTGCAGAAGGACGGCCTCACGCAGGCAGACAAGGACGCGCTGGATGGCCTCCTCCAGCAGGTGCGTGCTTTCCCAGGGCTTGGGGGTGGGGTCCAGTGGCCTACAAGTGGCCTCGGTAGACGGTCTGGACATGGGTGGGCTGGGAGCATGGCGCTCACTGTCTGGAAGCCCAGGGGTGGGCCCAAGACCCTCCTCCTTGTCGTCTGCTAACGCAGGCACAGCATGAGGATTTAAGATTTCAGCTGCACGAGGTTTTTAGAATCGAATGAAGCTGAGGGCACCCACACATGAGTTAGTGAGAGCTCAGCCTCCACCTCGGCAGTCAGGCAGGGCCCCTGCCACTCACCAGCTGTGGCTCCAGGAAAGGGCTTCATGTGTGGACCCTCCAGCTTCTGTCTGTGACTAGGGCATGACTGTAGTGCCTCTCTTGGGGACGAGGGCTAAATGGGAAGCAGAAAAGATGGAGCTGCACAGATGCAGATCTGGGCTGGGGCCCAGCCCCACCCATAGATCCTGGGGCTGTGGGCAGGTGCCACCCCCACCCCCATACTTAGGGAAACTCCTGTGTCCCGGGGACTGAGGTGCTTGCTGGCCCCCCATGTCGCTAGGACCTCAGGGGCTCCCATGTCCGCTCACCAGGTGCCTCCACATGGATTTGGTCTCTTGGGCTGCCATCCTCCCTCCATGTGGACGTCATGTAGGGGAGGACCGAGCATCTATGTTTCTCCCCGTGAGCTCAGGAGTTGGCTCAGGGCCTGTTAGAAGATAGATAAATGGCTTATTGGCCCAGAAATTTTCTTTGGCAAGAGGCTTGCTAAAGCATCCAGAAAGCTCCAGAACCAGGAACAACATTCCCAGGGGACTCATTTCCTTGGAAAGTCACATGTGTCAGCCTTGTTCTCAGGAATTCGAGGGAAGTACGTGGGAGGCCCTTCCCCTGGGCTCTGCAGCATGGGGAAACCGAGGCAGGGCTGAGGGGAGCTTGACGGAGTTGTTAGACGTGAGCCAGGACTGAAGACATGGGTGGGACCCACGCCCATCCCTGAATGTGCCTGCAGCCTGCCTGTGCTGCTGTCCAGCCAGGCCCTCAGCCCCTGGTGTGGCATTCTTAGAAAGGCCCTTGCTCCCGTCCCCCTTTCTTGCCCTGTTTGTACCCGGATTAAAGACGAAACACATGAATGAGCCCCTCAGACACAGAATGTGCAACTTACCTGACTGAGCACATGGTTACACCTGAGATTTACCCTGTGCCTATCCTCAGATGCGTCAGGGACCCTGGCCTCAGTTCCCTGGAGAGTGGGGTCCAGGGATGCTGACACAGTTCTGGCTGGGGTACCTGCTCCAATTTTAACCCCCCAGATGCTCTCGGCCCTTTCCCGGGACCAGAGAGGCACCGTGCTTGGCTCTGGCTTCTCTGGTCAGCTTGGGTTTGGAGCCTCCTAGAGGGCAGCCTAGCTGGTGGCTGTGGGCAGAGTGTCCTCCCTGTGCCTGCTTTGATTTCTCCCAAGCAGCCCCATCTGCGTCGTGCTTCTGTGTTTACTGTCCAACTTGTTCTCCCCAGTGATTGTGGGGAGTGGCAGGACCCCAACAGCTTGGGAAAGAGGAAGGTCTCAGGGGTTGTGCCTTCCCCAGGCTGGTCATTTCCAGCCTCCCCCAGTGACCAGGGACTCTGATGAAACCACACTCCTCAAAGGCGCCTTCTCTCTTCCTTGTGTTTTGAAAACATGCAAAGCCAGGATTTCAGACATCTGTCTCCAGGGCTGGCTGGGCCTCAGAGAAACCCACAGGCCTGTCCTCCATGGGTAGGAGTGTTGATGGGTGGGTGGCTCTCCTGGAGAGCATTTTAGCAAAACATATCAAGAGCCATAAAAATGTTCAGAGCCTTTGACCCACTAATCCTGCTTCTGGGAAGCTGGCCGAAGAAAACTATTGCCAGCGTGGAAAAACCTGCACACAGTGACATTTGTTTATGCTACAAAGAAACCGGAGATGGCAACAGTGTCTGACAAAGGAGAAACGTTTGAGTAAATCACAGCGCAGCCACTCGGTGGAATATTACTCAACCATTAAAAAATGCTCCCTGCGGAAACTGCTGTGACATGGAGTCCTCTTAGAACCCATCGATGGGGCAAAACAGCGGCTGCCATGCCAGCCACACAGCTGCATACGCATGTGCTGGACCAGGGCACTTGGCGAGGCAGTCACAGAAGTCCTGCTTCAGGGCAGGAGCTGAAACCTTCAAGCACCTTTAAGGCAGAGGTTTTACATCTATCTTTGCAAACCGTCTTGGAGACAAGCTCACCTTTGGTAACCAATGGGAGCAGCGCTGGCTGGTTGCAGGGAAGGTGGGCTCAGCCTGGTTCCTCTAGGCACCCCTCACCCAGCACCCGCAGCCTCAGCTAACTCTGCGGTGGGAGCTGCAACTCTGAGAGAGGGTGCCTTAGTCCATTGGGCTGCTGTAACAGACTACCATAGACTGGGTGGCTTGTAAATGACAGATGTTTACTTATCACAGTGCCTGGAGCCTGGGAAGTCCAAGATCAAGGCGCTGCCAGATTGGGTGTCTGGTGAGCCATCCAGTCCTGGTTCATAGACGGCGTCTTCTCACTGTGTCACCACATGGCGGAAGGGGCGAGGGAGCTCTCTGGAGCCTCTTTTATGAGGGAACTAATCCCTCCCAAAGGCCCCGCCTCCTAACACTCTTACATTGGGGGTTAAGATGTAACATGAATTGTGGGAGGACAGAAACCTTCAGTCCATAGCAGGGGGAGGCTGTGATGGGGTCTCGGGAGTACAGGTGGTAGCCCCCCTTTTTGGAGCCAGCCTGGCCTCCAGCACCTGCAAGATGTGTGCATCTAGACCTGCTGCCCTGACTCTTCCAAGGGTCACCGCCCTGGCCTGCAGGGGCGCCACGGGGTAGGGTGCTGTCCTCTTGCCCCTTCCACGTCTGTCTGTGTCCTTCTGTGTCTCTCCCCCCACCCCCTATCAAATGCTTTCAGGGATGCCTGCCTCTGCAGGGCTTCCTGCAGGATGATGCTAGCTCTGCCTTGCAGGTGGCCAACGTGAACACCAGGGACGGCACATGCACGCTGAAGGACTGTGTGTACAAGGACGTGCAGAAGGACTGGCCCGGCTACTCGGAGGGGGACCAGCAGCTGCTGAAGCGGATGCTCATCCGGTAATGCGCCTCCCCATCTCCCATCTCTGGGCATGTCCCCTCCCCCAGGCCTGGGGCAGATCTCAACTTGAGGATGCTGGGGTGGGCTCACCTGGTCCCGAAGGCCTCGGGGCTCGAGAGCAGGCTGGAGGGGTCTGTGCCGACAGGCCATCTTCCCCACTGCCTGGGTAGCCCACTAGGCTTCCCACTGGGAGTGGGTGGGATAGAGGGTGTGAGTCACCATCCTGAACACCAAAATGCTGGGACAGAAGGCCTCAGTCCCCCCAGACCCATCCCGCTGCCCCCTCCCATGAAGCTTCTGCCCAAAACCTGCGCATCCCCACAGGCTTCTGCTGAAGGCCGCTTCCTTCTTAAAAAGAACCTCTCAAGAATGTGAAGCAGAGAGAAAGAAAGCAAAATAAAACTCCCCACAGACGTGATTAAGCAGCGTTAATTAAACGCATCCTCTCTCAGATTAATTTCGACCTGAGGTCGGGAGTGGTCGCAGTGGCTCTGGGGAGAAGTGGTTAAGTAGGCACCCAGCTCAGGCAAGCAGTTAATGATGTCCCTCCCAGCTGATGCCTGGCTTGGGAGCGAGGGCTGTGAAGCACAGAGCAGGCTGATATGCTAATTAGTGCTTAAGTGATTTCTCAGGGACTTGGAGCTATTTTTGAGGTTTTTTTTTTTTTAAGTTCAGCTGTTTAAAGCAGTAATTGCATCTGGAAAGCAGAGCTGAGTTGGGGCCACTCAAGCTGAAACCCGAGTTCCTCCTCAGCCCTGTGGGTGCTCACCTGCTGGCCCTAGGTCACCGCTCTGGCTGTCTGGCGGTCTCTGGGTGCTCGGGGAGGCTGACAGGAGGTGGTCTCAGCAGAAAACTCCCATTCCCTGGTTTCCCCTCCCTGGGGGTCTTCTGTTGCCCCAGCTAAACATGTCTCAGGTGGGCACGGTCACCTCCTGCAGGTGTTTTCCTCCGTCACACATTTTTTTGGCAAAGGGTCCAGTGTTGAAATGATCAACTACACCCACCCCAGTGCTTTGAGGTGACGAGGGACACTAAAGGGTCCCCGCGAGGCTGTTCCCAGCCGTCTTTCCTCAGAGCCTCTCACTTGGTGCCCGTTGATTTCAGACCCTGAGTGAGCAGCCCTTGTGTGTGTTTGCGTATGTGTGTGGGTGTGTGTGAGGGGAGTTAGCAAACAACACCTGGGCTGAATCTTGAGGGGTGTTGGGTGGAAGGTTCCTGGAGCCATGTGCTCTGGAGCCAGTGCAATTCCAGGCTCACGTTTCCTCCCTCCCCCTCCACTGAGTGAGCTGCTGGGGCTCTTGTGAGTCTGAGGGTACTGGCTTTCACTCTGGGCCAGTGCAGTGCTCCTCTCTCTCTCTGCCTGGCTGGAAACTGCTCAGGGCTCGGGCAGTACCTGCTGCCCTTGGAAGTGCGAACTGGTTGGTGTGCAGAGGTCAGAGTCAACATTCCTGATGCCCACAACCACACAGGTTACCCCGAGCGCAGTCTGCACAGCTTTTTTCTTGTTTTGTTGCTTCCTCCCTGAAGACAGCCCCACTTGGAGCAGTTCTTGAAGCTGCAGCCTCATAGCAAGAAGGAAAAACAGGGCCTTGGGGTGTTGCTGTTGTTATGGGGAGGCGCAGAGACCAGTGTCACCCCAGGAGCCATGTGCCTCCTTTCGCTCCTTTTAGTTCTAAGCTCGTCCCTGAGTGAAGCATGCCCGTGGTTCTAGGCTCTGCCGGGCCTGTGGCTTCGCTCTGAGCAGATGCCCATTCTAGCATCGGCTGTGTTTCTTTTGATACTTCCTCTGCACTTCTAGTCCCCGATGTGTAGCTGCTCAGGCCTGGCCTGTTCCAGGCAGCATCTGTGGGTGTCCCAGCGCAGGATGAGGCCTCGGCGACCCTGCCTGGCCCCATACTCAGTCCCCCCACCCTGCCCGCATCCTGGCCTCACCTCCCGTGGGGTCCAGCCTGGACAGCCCGAGCGCAGTCTCCGTCCAGCTCACACCCATCTTGCTTTCCCTGGAGTTGGTAATAACCCTCTTGGCTGCCTGCTTGCTCTCTCTGCTCAGTGTCCCTTGCCCTTCGTGGGCAACCCCAACCTCCCGCCGGTTGTCCTATGGCCTCTTGTCACTTTCAGTGGATGGGGGTCCTGCAGGTTCTGCAGGAGCTGCTTCCCTCTCAGGGCCTCCCGTTCCTGGGTCTGCAGTTCTGCCCTGGTGCTGATGGGACGCAGCTGAGGAACGGGCTTTGGGAGGTCCGCTGGCCGCATCTTGATGCTCGGGCAGCAGTCATGCTGAATCGGCAGTTGGCCAAGTCCAGACTTCCAGATTCAAAGGAACTTTCCCTCCACGTTGAAGGCCTGGCCCCAGGGAAGCCCTGGAGGCTCCCAACTGGCCTTGTGCCCCTCTGCACAGTCACAGGCCACTTGGTCACAGGCTGGCCTGGCGGTGCTCTGGGGTGGGCGCTATGGCCACAGTGTGAGAACTTGCCCTGTCCTTCTTCCCGTCCCAGGCGGTCGTGAGAAGGCCTCACTGGCCTCCCTCGCGCTTCCTCTGATTCTGCCATTGGTGGGCTATGCTCCTGGACTGTTTGCCGTTGTTTTCCTGTTGTCACTTCTCTCTCTCTCTCTCTCTCTCTGTTTTGTACTTTTGGGAGATTTCTTCAGCTTCTCCCATTGTTTTTTTTTTGCCATTGTTTTCAGTTCCCAAGCATCTTTCCTGTTGACTTTTTATAGCATGATGTCCTTACTCCATGGGAGTGATGCCATTTTTAATCTACTCTCTCTAAGGATACTTTTTTTAATTGATGTCATAATAGTTTATTACATTGTGAACTTTTAGTTGTACATTATTGTTTGTCAGTCACCATATAAATGCATCCCTTCACCCCTTGTGCCCACCCCCAACCCCTTCCCCCTGGTAACCACCAAACTGTTCTCTCTGTCCGTGTGTTAGTTTATTTTCCACATATGAGTGAAATCATGCAGTGTTTGTCTTTCTCTGTCTGGCTTATTTTGCTTAACATAATACCCTCCAGGTCCATCCATGTTGTTGCAAATGGGACGATTTTTGTCTTTTTTTTGGCGAGGAAGATCAGCCCTGAGCTAACATTCATGCCTATCCTCCTCTTTTTGCTGAAGAAGACTGGCCCTGAGCTAACATCTATTGCCAATCCTCCTCCTTTTTTTCCCCTTTTCTCCCCAAAGCCCCAGTAGATAGTTGTATGTCATAGTTGCACATCCTTCTAGTTGCTGTATGTGGGACACCGCCTCAGCATGGCTGGACAAGCAGTGCGTCGGTGCACGCCTGGATATGAACCCCGGGCCGCCAGTAGTGGAGCGTGTGCACTTAACCACTAAGCCACAGGGCGGGCCCTGATTTTGTCTTTTTTTATGGCAGTGTAGTATTCCATTGTATATATACACCAGATCACTTAACGTTGCTTCCACTTCTTGGCTATAGTGAATAATGCAGCAATGAACAAAGGGGTGCATAAGCCTCTTTGGATTGTTGATTTCAGGTTTGTTGGGTAGATACCAAGTAGTGAGATAGCTGGATCATAAGGTATTTCTATTAAAAAAATTTTTTTTTTGAAGAAGAGTAGCCCTGAGCTAACAACTGTTGCCAATCCTCTTTTTTGCTGAGGAAGATTGGCCCTGGGCTAACATCCGTGCCCATCTTCTTTTACTTTATATAGGATGCCGCCACAGCGTGGCTTGATAAGCGGTGCGTGGGTCCGCGCCTGGGATCCAACCTGTGAACCCCGGGCTGCCGAAGTGGAACTCGCGAACTTACGCCACTGGGCCGGCCCCTATTTTTAATTTTTTGAGGAATCTCCATACTATTTTCTGTAGAGGCTGCACCAGTTTGCATTCCCACCAGCAGTGAATGCGAGTTCCCTTTTCTCCACAACCTCTCTAAAATTTGTTACTTTTTGTCTTGGTGATTATAGCCATTCTAATGGGTGTAAGGTGATATCTTAGTGTTGTTGTGATTTGCATTTCCCTGATGATTAGTGATGTTGAACATCTTTTCATGTGCCCATTGGGCATCTGTATAATCTTCCTTGGGAAAATGTCTGTTCATATTAAGGATACTTTTTAAAAATAACAGCTTTATTGAGCTCCAGTTTGCACACACAAGTCACTCACTTAAAGGGAGCAATTTAGTGGTATTTAGTACATTGACAATGTGTGCAACCATCACCTCTATCTAGTTCCAGAACATTCACCCAAAAATGAAACCCCACATTAGCAGTCAGTCCCCATCCCCCGTCCCTCCAGCTCCTGGCACCCACTAATCTGCTTTGGTCTCTTTGGATTTGCCTCTTCTGGATGTTTCACATAAATGGGATCAAACAGTATGTGGCCCTTTGTGTCTGGCTTCTCTCACTCAGCATGATGTTTTCAAGGTTCATCCATGTTGTAGCGTGTGTCGGGGCTTCATTCCTTTCTATGGCCGAGTACTGTTCTATGTGTGATGGACCACATTGTGTTTATTCATTTATCTGTCGATGGACACCAGGATCGTTTCCAAACCTTTTGGCCATTGTGAGCAGTGCTGCTATGAAGTCGCATGTATAAGGATTTGTGTGGATATAGATTTTCACTTCTTTCCCATATATACCAAGGTGTGGTGTTGCTGGGCCACATGGCAATCCTATGTTTAACTTTTTGAAGAACTGCCAGACTCTCCTCGGTGGCTGCACCATTTTACATTCCCACCAGCAGTGCACAAAGGTTCCCGTTTCTCCATGTCCTCACCAACACTTGGTATTTTCGTTTTTTTTTTTAATTCTAGCCCTCTTAGTGGGTGTGGGGTGGCGTCTCACTGTGGTTTTCATTTGTTTTTCCCTAATAACTAATGATGTTGAGCATCTTTTCAAGTGCTTATTGGCTTTTTGTATATCTTCTTTGGAGAAATGTCTATTCAAATCCTTTGTCTGTCTGAGGATATTAAGGCTGGAGTTTTGTTGTGTATTTAAAGTTTTCATTCCCTTATAGTCTCTCTCCTTTCAAATGCATTTTCCTGTCTGTCTCTTTTGGGGTCTGACATTGCTCGCCTGGAAGCCCAGCTGCAACCTCTTCCGGACTTTGCTCTGGGTAGCTCAGTTTCCTCAGGAGGGCTGCTGAGGTGTCTCTGAAGCCCCCATGGGCCGCTGTTTCCTCTTCTCTGGATGCCACACCTCTGTCCATCCCATCGTCCGTGTGTGGCCTGAGCAGCTTCCCAGCTACCTGGAGAAGGCCTAGGCTCCTTCACTACTGAACATGCCTTGGGCTCCCTTCCCCACAGCCCCACAGCAGACCAGCACCCAGCACAGGGCTGCAGGGGGACAGCTTGGCAGGAGCCCTTCTCTGAGGTCCCTGGGCTCACCCACCCGGGCCCGTGGGGCTCTGCAGGCTGAAACTTGGTGCACGTAAACACCTGTCCTTGGTTTTCCATCTGTAACCGGAAGTGGTGGTTGCCTGCCCGTGGCTGGACAGCACACCTGCTCTGCCTTGGGGACTGTGTTGCTCTGGCAAGTGCCTGCATGTGGCAGGTACGTCTCCTGTGGCTCTCCTTGCCTTTGGGCCACCATGGAGAGGATAGCAGAAGTGCTCTGGAGTGTAGCCATTGATCAAGGAGGTGGCCTCTGCTCCTCGTTCCTGGTTAGAGCAGTGGAGACATGGCCCTGGACCTCAGCCTTCCTGCAGGGCATTGGAGGGCCCTTGGGGCTATGCACAGCTCCGAGCCACCTGCCTGGGCTCCCTTGACACTTGCAGCCTCTGGGAGTGTGAGAGGTGAATTGGAGAGGGATCCCAAGCCAGGGTCACTACCGGGGCCTCCATTTGTACAGGTGTTGGGGTGTCTCTTCCCTCATCCCTGACTGCATCGTTATACTCAGGTCCATGTGGGCCAGTGGCTGCCCCTACCATCCTCAAGGGGGTGTGGTGTCCTGGGCTTCCAAGAACGCAGGTGCTGAATCCTGGAGGCCTTTCTCACACAGACCGGGGCATCTCGGTCTTCTTCTGCGGTCTCTAAAGTTTCCGAAGGGAGCGTTATTATTGGTATGAACAATTGGTTTTAAAAGGAGGGACCAGTACCCCAGTGTCGCCAGCTTGCGCGGGGAAACAGCACGGATCGTGTGAACTGGTCTGATCAGTGTCTGGTCAGTTTTATGTGGGTCCTTGCTCTCCGTGGTAATGGGAGTCTAGATGAGTGGGAGGTCAACTGACTCTTCTCTGGGCACAGAAGGATGGGGCAGTCCTCTGAGCAGTGAGGCCAGGCCGCAGTGCAGCTGTGGATGAACCTGGGGCAGGGTGCGCTCAGGCCACTCTCTGCCCACCAGGCCTTGACGCAATCATCACGCTCAGCCTTACTCTGCTTCAGTGGGGCAGTGGGCCCTTCCCAAATCACTGGTTGTGGGTGGGAGAGTGTGGTGTCACTGCAGAGACCAGTGGGCCTGGGTGTGCCCCATGGAGCGCGTCTTCAGAGCCCTCCAACCTACCCTGCTTCTCCTTTGCAGGAAGCTGTGCCAGCCACAGAGCACAGGCGGCATCCCTGGAGACTCTGCTGCTGCCAGCCCTCTGGGCGAGCATGGGAGCTCAGCCTCGCCCCCCCAGGTGGGAGCTGCCAGCCCGGGTGTGACAGCACGGTGGCGGTGAGGGAGGGTGGGTGTCACCCGGAGTCGCAGGCCTGACCCGACCTTGGTGCTTGGAGAGCCTGTTGGGCCCTCAGCCCAGGGCTGGGAAGTTTTCTTCAACGAGTGAGCAGCTGGCTAGCTTCCCCCGGGCTGGGCGTCCTGGGCCTGGGACCTGGGTGCGCTTCCCTGGGACACCTATGGGTGGTGTGGCCGAGGAAGGGAAGGCTGCAGGACTGCCCTGACCTCGTTTCTTCACAGTGGGCTCCTGCCTGCCAGGGCTGTCATAAAATCAAGCGTGCTGGCTGAGGCCCAGGCGCCCAGTGGGCCCTGTGAGCAGTGGCTGCTGCCGTTGTAGTCAGTGGTCAGGAAGGGGTGCTCGGGGGAGCCTCGCTGCCGGGGCTGTGTGGCTCCCGCCTGGCTCTGGCTGGGGAGATTTGGCCAGGCCCCCCTCACCATTGCTTGAACTGTTTGGTGAAAGCTGTCCCCGCCCACCTGTGTGCTCTGACTCATGAGTCCCACCCACATCCCCAGACCCCCACTCGCTAGTCCCTCCTCCCTCCTCCTCCTCTGCCTTGGAGGCACCCTGCCCATGTCCACAGCCTTGAAGCCCCCTGTGCACACCCTGCTGTGGGGCCAACATGGGGGGCAAAGGGCCTCACATAACCCATATCCCCACCACTGCCCTCTGGGCCTAGGCCACCTGGCCCAATCCTGGCTCCCCTCCTGTGGTCTGGCCTCGCCTCACAGGCCTCAGTCTTCTCATCTGTGAAAAGGGGATGAGGCCCACGCCATGTCACAGGGTTGCAGTGGGGATCCAAATAGTCAGGGGTCTGGGGATGATGGTCCCAGCTTGTGGGGCTGCCCTGTGTCCCTCAGACTGGGCTCTCTCACTGTTTCCATTGTCTGGGGAAGATGCTGAGTGCAGCGCTGTTTTAGAATAAACCCTAGAGCTGGCCCTTAAGGGCTGGGGCCAGGCCCGCTGATGACCTGACTGCCCTTCCTCTGTTCCTCACCTTCAGTCCCAGCTGAGCTCCAGGCGTTCTCTGCCTGGCTGCTGTCCGGGCACCACCATGTGGCCTGAGCGGGCCTTGCATGGGGTCACTGGGTTTCCTCAGGACCTGGGGCTGCTGGGCCTCGCTGAGCTCAGGGTTGACTTTTTGCTGCCCAGCTGCTGCCCAGCTGCTCCCCGGGGGACACCAGTAGCTCTAGGCACAGGCTCCTCTCTGAAATTGTCTCCCTTCCTTTGCAGAAACGGCCGCAGCCTCCTGATTTCATCGATCCCCTGGCCAACAAGAAACCCAGGATATCGCACTTCACCCAGAGAACTCAGCCTACAGTCAATGGGAAGCTGAGCACACCCCACAGCCGTGAGGCCCTGCTGCCCACCCCAGGCCTGCTGGCTAGCACAGACTCCCACCTGCCCCCGCGGCTGGAGCACCCTCAGGCCCATGACCCCCTGGCCCATGTCAGCAACGACCTAGGCCACAGTGGCCGGGACTGTGAGCACGGGGATGCGGCCGCCTCAGCCCCCACTGCGCACCTCAGCCTGCCCCTGCTGATGGACTGTGCCCAGCCCAGCAGGCCCCACAGTGGTTCCTCGCGCGGCAAGTCCAAGAAGAAGTCCAAGAAGCACAAAGACAAGGAGAGGGCAGCTGAGGACAGGCCCCAGGCCCAGCTGCCAGACCATGTGCCTGGCCCCCTTGGAGCCCCGCCAGATGCCCCAGGTAGGTGCCGAGAGGCAGGCCTAGGGGCAGGAGGCTCTGCAGGAGGGTGCTGCTGGGAGCCTGAGTACCGGCCCCATGCCCACCCTGACTCCACAGGGTGCCGAGGGGGTTGCACTGCCCCACAAGCCCCTACTTTGGCTCACCCCACACATTTGGGCCCTTTGCACCCTGTGTTCTTGCACCCGGTCATCTGTGAATGCCTTGGCTGTCTCGGCTCCAGAGCCTCCCGCAGTCCTGCTATGTGCCAGGCCAGCGCTGGGGGCTGGGGGCTTGGGACCTGATGGAGCTGAGGCTTATGGGAGAGGACAGCACACGGGAAGGGGACTGAGTTCAGGCTGCAGCTCTGGCTGCAGGGTGGTCCCAGACCCTGAGAAGGGAGCAAGGTGGGTCCGGGGCCTGCTGAGGAGTGAACTTTTCAGCCAATGGAGAAAGGCAGAGGCCATGAGGAGGTGGGAGACTGTCCACAGAACAGTAGGCGGTAAGAGCTGCAACGAGGTCACGCAGTGAGTGGGGAAGCCGAAGGTCGAGAGAACTGGGATGGCAGCAGCAGTGAGGGGTGCCAGGCTGGCCAGGGCCGTGCACTGAGCAGGGAAACCTCTGCAGGGCACTGGGGAGGCATATGGACGGGCTGGGCTGATGGTGGGGACGGGGGTCAGCACCCCCAGAACCTAGGCCACCCTGTGTTTATAGCTCCGGGCACCTGAGCTGAGCGTCCCTTGTGGGTCTAGCTTAACCTTATCAGCCTGACAAGCAACAGAGGTGCAGCGTGCCTGCCATGTGGGGCCGAGGCTGCGACGGGTCATGGACAGCCTGGCTGGGTCACCTGTTGCCGCTTTCAGATTATTCCCCCAGGAGCCCAGGAGAATCCTGAGCCGGGGGGGTGGGGAGCATTCCTGAATCAGGGTGGAGTGGCTCCTTAAGGCTTTTGGATGAATTGCTCAGCTGCCCACCAGAAAGGCTGTGCCGGCCCCTCCCTCTGGCTGAGGACAGGTCCTGGTGCACCATGGTCGCTCGGCTCAGTCCTCTAGGTTCCTCTCAGCCCTCTGCCCACTAGGCTTCCCAGTGTCTGGGGGTGGGCAGAAGGGGAGAAGGCGGCCTGGTTCCAAGTGCCACATCTGATCTGGGTCCTGCCTGGGGACACAGGCCCTCAGCAGGCTCAGCCAGGTAGCACGTTCTGTCCCATAGGGTGGGAATGAGCCCTTGTGTCTCCCAGCAGGGCCCTGGGAAGGAAGAAGGCTGTTGGCGGAGGGGTGGGGGTAGGTTGGGGCCAGGAGGATACTGCCCAGGCCAGCCCCACGCCCCAGTGTGTGTCGGCCTTGGGCAGCTTGTCCCCAGGCCAAGGTGAGAAAGTGAGGTCTGGGATCAGGCATGCTAGAGAGGAGACGGCCCCAGGGAAAGAAAAAGGACAACTGAGGCACCAGCCGCTCCGCCTGGCACCACATGATCCGTCTTACCCAGCGTGTCTCAGGCAGCTCAAATGGTGATAATGGGTGGGTGCAAAGCCCCTGGTGCCTACCTAGAGGCCCCTGTCCTGCTGCTGCGCTCCTTCCTGGGTGACGAGTGCGCTCTGCCAGGCAAAGCTCAGGCCTGATGACCCCAGGTGCAGGCGCACAAGCGGGAACCCCTGCCTCCTTGTGACAGTGCTATTCTCTGCACACCTCCGCTGGCTGCAGAAGGCTCCAGGTCAGCACGTGTCCTGGGGCAGAGGGACAGGCATCATCGTAACCTGCCGTTCTGCATGGCACTGTCCCCTAGTCTGGCCCTGTTGTTCCAGCCCTGCCCCATGATCGCCTCTGACCCCAACAGGTGCTGCAAAGTGATAAAATTGCTTCTCTGTTGGGGGAAGAGGCCATCTGGAAAAAGTCCTGGGGGATAATAACTAGACTGTAGTTTCGGCTGCCCACAGCCCAGGCAGGCCTGGGTCATCCTTGGAGCTCCACTGCCAGATGGCTGAGGTATGGCCCTTGGCACCTCCAGCCTGGCCGTGTTCTGGGGCTCCCCTTGGAGCCTGCAGTCTGGCATCCAGGAGGAACAACGAGAGGATTGGCGGGGCTCAGACCAGGGACCAGAGCCCACAGGGCTCGCAGCACCATCAGCAGTGACAGGTGTGAGCGGGATCAGGGCCCTTCCTTGGTGGCCGTCTGTCTTTGTCCTCTGAGGCTTTGGATGGGTCCAGCTCTGGACGAGTTGCCCACGCTTCAGCCCACAATTAACCTGTCCTTTCAGCTGCTTGCAGAAGACATACCCACGGCACCATCTGGGCTCCCTGTGTTCTGGGTGGCTGTGGTTCAGGAACACACACCCTCACACACTGTCTTGGCTCACCACCTCTCCCACAGGTGGCCCTGAGGTGGCCAGATGGCGCTCACCCTGTGCTCGCACCTTTGCTGTCTTGGGTCCTGCTGTATGGCCTCGGCCCCATCTCACACAGCCTCCCCCTCTGCCGTCCTTCCCTCCGTGTCCTTCAGACAACAGAGCATGAACCTGTTACGGATCTTGCTGTGGACGCAGGAGCTGTGGACTCAGGAGATCCACGTTTGCTCTTTGTAGGTTTAAACGGGGCCTGCAGCAGCTCCAGCGTCCCCACGTCGACCTCGGAGACGCCTGACTACCTGCTGTGAGTACTTCACTTGCCCGCGGGGGGTTTGCTGCTCCTGCCCTGCATGGCGGGTCAGCAGAGGCAGAACTGAGTCCCTGTCCGTGGGTGTGAGTGCCCAACTGCCCAGCCTGTTTCAAGGTTGGAGCAGCTTCCTGGGCACTTCTGGCCTCTGCCACAGCGCCCTGAGCCCTGCCAGCCCCTCTCTGCCGTCTCCCCAGGAAATACGCCACCATCTCCTCCTCGGAGCAGCGTCAGAGCTACAAGAACGACTTCAATGCTGAGTACAGCGAGTACCGCGACCTGCATGCCCGCATCGAGCAGATCACGCGGCGCTTCACGCAGCTCGACGCCCAGCTCCGGCAGCTCTCCCAGGGCTCTGAGGAGTACGAGGTAGAGCACCTGCCTGCGGGGGGCTCTGCCAGCTGCTGGTACCCACACGCATGCTCCGTTGTGTTCTGGGCTGAGGGCCCTGCCAAGCGCTCCTTCCCACCCTGGTTCAGCCCTGTCCTCAGGGCTCTGCCACGGGAGTCTGCCGGCTTGAGGCCTGGCTCAGCCTCCGCCGCCGTGAGGCCAGTTGTGACCAACTCCGCAGGTGGGAGACGACCTGTGGGGGTCAGGGAGCACAGGGCTGGGGCACAAGGGGCCCCACCTGTGAGAGTGCCTGGGGTCCTCTCTGCAGCCACTTCACAGGGACACTTCAGTCCCCCACCAGGAGGGACAGGGCCAGGCTGCATCCTCCATCAGTGCCACCATAGCCACAGTGGGAGGTGGGAGGAGATGGAGGATCCCTCTGGTCCGCCCACCTGTACTAGGAGTCCCTCGTCCTTTGGCCTAGGGCACACAGGCTCCCCAAGCCATCCATGTGGGAGCTCACTGCGGGGGGAGGGCCTCCACCCTTGGTCACCAACTCTGGGACACCAGCCTCCCCCTTGTGGCACTTTTCAGAGCTGGTTACTTGATTAATCAGGGTATTAGGGTCTCTCTCCCTGGGCGGAGGCCATTTTGGTTTCCAGAGAAGACGGCTTATGGTTAGAGCAACAATGGGGGTTCTAGAGTCGGGGACAGACGAGCGCCCAGGGCATCTCTGTCCTCCCTCCTCCTCGCAGCCCCTCTGTGGTTGCTCCTCACATCCCACTGCACCCCAGGTGGCCACAGGGCTTCTGCGTGTGGCCTGGAACAGCGGACAGGCCAGCTGGGGGCCAGGGAAGGAGGTCGTCCTGCCTGTTCTTTGCCTCCTCCCGAGGCTCTAATTGGCCCCCTCCCACCATGCAGGCCTGAAGCTGGGCCCCTGCCCCTTGCTCCCCTGGCCCAGCTTCCTCCTCTGCCTCCTGCCTTGCTAATCTCCTCCAGCCTGCTCCTCCTCTGTACTTCGGTCAGCTTCTCCAGTCAGCTTCCCTCATGCCATCTTGAGGCCATTGTCCCCAAAGGCCATTGTCCCCAGGCAGGGGGTGGTTGTGCAGGTCACAGGTTATCAGGGAGAAGGGGCCATTCAGTCGAGGTTTCCTGCAGGCGAGGGCATTGTTTGCTTTCTCTTTTGTTTTTTCTCCAGACTACTCGCGGGCAGATTTTGCAGGAATATCGAAAAATCAAAAAGGTGAGTCTCTGTGCTTTTGTGGGGGATGGGGTGGGGACAGAAGAAGCTGTTTCAAGGTGAGCAGTGCCCAAGTCTGGGCAGGGAAGGAGGAAGGGCCTCACAGGGCTGAGGTCTCAGGTCCTCAGAGCAGCCCCTGCCCCCCTGTTTACAGCTGAGGAGCTGAGCCTGTCCTGTGAGCTTTGGTGCACCCCCTAGCTGGGCACCCCTGCACCCCCTGACTCTCCCACTGCTTGGTGGGTGCAGCCCCCAGGCCCTTTCCAGCTCCCTCCAAGGTCCAGGGGAGGAGCTGAAGTTCCCTGCCCCAGCCTGGCCCCATCTTTCTTCAGCTGCTAGTCTGGCGGGAACACCCAGCCTCATGGGTTCAGGCCATCTCCTGGGGGGCACCGAGCCCCAGCTTCAGACTCCCTGAGGGTCTGCTATGAGGTGGTTCCACGATATCAGCTCTTGTTCCTGAAGGCCACTAGCTCTGGGTTTACCACGTGTGCCCCTGTGTGCCAGGGTGGTTCCCTGCCAGCGAGTCCCCAGCCCGGTGTGGAAGTTTCATAATGAACCTCACCTGTGACTCCGTTTCCCAGGGCGGGGCCCAAGGGCGGGGCTGGGGTCCCTGTCATTGCGTGCCGGGCACAGGCCTGTAAGCAGGGGGAGCAGGAGCCGGGGCGGCCAGGCGGGCGGGTGCTGTGCACAGCGCTGGACTGCCACCCGGTGCGGCGACACTCGGATGCTGCTCACACCGCCGCTCTCTCGCAGACCAACACCAACTACAGCCAGGAGAAGCACCGCTGCGAGTACCTGCACAGCAAGCTGGCCCACATCAAGAGGCTCATCGCCGAGTATGACCAGCGGCAGCTGCAGGCCTGGCCCTAGCCCGAGGCTGCGGGCCAGGAGGTCTACTCTGCTGGCCAGGCCAACTCACCTCACCGGGCTGACCTTTCTGGATGGCGGGGAGCTGGGGTTGGGGGAGCTAAAGACGGGGGAAAAAGATTTATTTAAAAAAATAAACATGAGGAAGACATGTTCATCTGAGCCAGCAATGCCGGCTTTCAGGGGAGCCCCTGCAGACCTGGTGCCCACAGGTCACAGATCCCGGGAGGTGGGGTCCTGCCTCCCGCCCCCCACACCTCCTGAGCAGCCCCCGCCCAGCACACGCTCCCGGGAAGCCCACCTCCTCGCAGGCCGAAGCCTGAGGGGCTTCAGCTTCCTCTCGCCGGAAGACTCGGAGGCTGGCCTGCCTGCCTTTTCTGGTTTTCTACAAAGACAGTCACTTTTAGCTACTGCTTACGAGACTGGAGTCTATTTTTGTACAAAAGAGAAAGCATCTTTTTTCTAAACCTGTGCCTCCCCTCCTTGGATGCCTGGGGTCTAGATGCCACCCTCTGTCCTTTCTGCAGTATTACAATTGCCATCGGAAAGTTTGGTGGCGTTGCTGCAACCTCGGAGGAGAGAACCCCTGTGTGGTGGGGGGGCTGGCCCGGGTCACGTCTCCCCTGCTGCTTTCCTGCTAGGCACCAGGCCAGGCCCTCCCTCGCAGCACCTGCCTCTCCTTCCCCTCCCTGGCTCCGGTGGGGTCTCTGCTCTAAGGGGTTGGGCGGGGCCCCTCCCAGGTCTATTTGGAGAACCCCAGCTGGCCCCCGAGCAGCTGCTGGGAGCCGGCTGGAGCAGAGCGGCTCTTGGTGCTCCCGGCCTGCCCTGCTATTTCAGACCCTCAGCTGTTGGGGGTCACTGGGGGTTTTCTGTGCTACAAGCTCGCACTCTGCAGCAACAGTGTTGAATTTTATTTTGTGATGTTCTCGATTTTCCCCTTTGCTGCTGCTTTTCATTTCGCACTGTTGAGACCGTGTGGTCTCCATGCTGTTGACCTCACTGCATCCCTCAGTCCACTTGTGGGTCCTGGGGTTGTTTTAGCAGAGCCACCACGAGGTTTGCACTCAGGGAGGGGCTGGGGGTCTCTGGGGTCGGGGGCCCCCCCAAGAGCGAGCTCAGAAAAGGCACCCTGTCTGCCTGCTCCGGGGGTCGCAGGCTCCGTGGACACCCCAATTGCTGCTTATTTGCTGTGCCTAGTCTAGTGTCCCCCAAAGTGTCGGGGGGCCGTGCGTGCGTGAGTGTGTGAGAGAGAGAGGGGCCCCGCCAGGGCGTGGTGGGGGCTGAGGTGTGTGTGCACATTCAGGGCCATGTTCAGTAAAGCCACCAGTGGGGGTGGGGGTGGTTGCAGCCTGCAGCCCTGGGGTCACAGGGGGGTGGCTGCTGCCAGCAGTAGTGAGGCAGCGAGAGTGGAAATGCTCACGTGGACACATCTGTTCTAAGCTGTGGGGGTCTCCTCATGGCTTCCCAAAGAGCGTACTCGTGGAGGTGCCTGCACAGTGCCCCCCCAGCCTGAAGTCTCTCCCTCTGCCAGCCCCCAGGGGTGCCTGGAGCACCGGAAACGATCCTTCATGTTTCACTAGCTGTTGTCTTGTTTTTCATTTGGGAGAGGAGGGAAGGGCTGAGCAGACCCAGCAGCCCCCGAGCTGTGCCGACTGCCGTGCTGTGGACGTGGATATCTGGCCCAGCCGTGCAGGCGCCGGTGAGGGATCACCTAGGGAGGCTTTCTGCCTTGGGAACCAGTTCAGGGGACTCTCAGCTCATTTCCTTGTTGTTGTTGTTTTGTTTCTTGTTTTTTTCTCTTTTAAGGAATTATGAAGCTAAGAAAAGTTCTGTGCTTTAGGAGTTGATGGACAAAAGTTCTAGCTGATTAAATATGTTCTAACTTATTGATACTGTGTTTTTTCTTTCCTTTTAATATTGTACTGTGGAGAAAAACTATTTTGAGCCATGGAGTTGGTGTTTACAAGAACTTTTCACTTTTGCCAAAATGTTACAATTGAAAGGCATCCACGTCTTCAGTTTCTTAATATTTTCTTAAAAGACCTCGTGTCCTTTTTGTACACTAAACAGGTGAATGCTGATTTTTTTCCAACCTATAATAAATGTCACTGAGCCGAACCTAGCAGCCCAGGCTGCCTGGGTGCGTGTGTGTCTGTCATAGCTGGGGAGTGGGCCAGGGTCAGGAGGTGACTTGGCACCAGGTGACCATGGTGAGTGGGGCAGGGGTGGGGTACGGCCTGGGATGGGGCAGAGAAGACGTCCTGGACAGCCTGCTAGAGCCGCTGCGCAGGAAAAAGGCCGGCAGGCGGAGGCTGGCCTGACCGAGGTGGTGGGCCCTGTGGGTAACAGGGTAGGAGGCCAGACCACCTGGTCACAGGTAGGAAATGGAGAGACTGGGGAGGCGGAGGCAGTGGGGTGCCTTGGCAGTGTGTGAGCAGGGCAGTGCCCCAGTGTGGACAGGGTAGGCTGAGCGAGCAGGGGATCCCCGGGCCTCCTGCAGCACCAGAGCGCCCAGCAGTAGGGCACATGGGGCCAGAGGAGTGCCCTCGTTTGGGGACATGGGCTGTGACTGACTCATGAAAACGGTTGTAAGTAACTGCACTGTTATTGTTCATTCCAACTAGGCCAACAGGCTGGGACTGGGGTGTCCCCTGTGCCCATGATGGGGATATGAATGCTGAGGCCCGGTGCAGCCCCACAGGCCCATCAGCGGGCATGGCTGTCCTTGCCCTGTGTTCCAGGTGAGGAGCCAAAGGCAGGGGGCAGGTCCTGCCCTCCAAGGACGCGGTGAGAGTGGGCGTTTATTTTAGCAAGAAAAAACAGACAAAGACCGGGATTGAAGGAGTCCAGGGGTCAGGGGCTGTGGGCCTTAGCCTCCCTGGTGGCCCTGCTGGCCGGTGGCCTTGGTCTGAAGCAGCTGAGGAATTTGGGGGCTGCGGGAGGTGAGTTCAGATGGTGTACCCTGTTCCTGGGATGGCCTGGCTGCGCTGTTTCCAGGGTATAACATCTCTGTCCCCACACCTCGGGGCCCAGGGCCGACACTTGCCACCTCGACCCTGTCATGCCTCAGCCTTGCCCTGCCTCCCCCTGCCCTCCACCAGACTTGCCTGCAGCCGTCCATGCTGCCTGGTAGCACCCTGGCCATAGCCACTTTAGTGCCCCTTGGATGCAGGTGGTTCCCTGACCATCCTTCCTGAGGGGAGGACGCCACGTGTCCAGCCCCCTGGGGGCCCAGAAGGGTCTTCCCACCCTCATGACCTGCACCGTAGCCGAGGGGCCTGGGGCTGCCCACCTGCTCCTGCCACTTGCTGGACAATGTCCCCGATTGTTGTTCTCCTGCCAGCACCTGGACCCCATAGCCCCTCCTGTGCAACGGGCTCCATCTGGGCACCGGCACTCAGCAGTGATCGAGACAGCCCTGCCCTCAGGAGCCTGTCATCTGGTGGCGACGGGGGGGGGGGTCCCCAGGCAGCACACTCACTCCATGTCACACACCCAGGCCATCTCTGCAGTTGCTTACAGCGCCAACCAACTGCTAGGAATAGAAGCAGCCTGAGGCCAAGTCCCTCCCAGCTGCCCCCAGCACTGCCCCCAGGGAGCCCATCTGGGCCCACTCTCTCCCCACTACCCTCCTGCTGCCACCTCCCACGGGCTGCCTTGTGAATGCTTGGGTTTCCCAGGGCTGAGTCTTGGGGCCTTTCTCTTCTCTCTGCACACACTCCTGTGACATCACATGTGGCCTGACAGCACAAGCTTCCTCCAGGATCCTCTGACAACCAGCTGGACATCAGTTCCCGGGGCTGGCATCAGACCTCACAGGTTAAGACACCAGCCACAAGTCTCTGGCCACCCATACTTCTGACCAACTGGTCATATATGGAGGTTCCCACGACTCCTCGGTTTGGTAGTTTGCTGGAATGGCTCACAGAGCTCAGGAAAACACTTCAACGGCCAAATGGAGGAGGTGCAGAGGGCAGGGTGTGAGGAGCGGAGCAGGGCATCCATGCTTTCTCCAGGTGTGCTGCCCTCCCTGCGCCTCTATGTGCCCTTCCCTCCCCTAGTGTTCAGCAGTGGTGACGGAGGTGCCATTACGTAGGTGTGATTGAGTCTATCACAGGCTGTCGGTGACTGAACTCAATCTCCAGCCAGGAACTGGGGACAAACCCCAAATATTTATTATACCATATTCCCGAGGGTCTGCCCTGGTCCCCAAACAGCCTGCCTCCCCCACCTGTCCCCCTGCCTTTTCATCCGACACTGAACCCACTCTTCCCGGTTTTTGCCTGGGCAGCTCTTCCTACTGTTGATAGAAGATGTCTTCATATCTCAAGACTCCCAGAAGCCACCTCCTCCAGGCAGCCTGCCCTGCCCGGCCCTGCCTCCGCATTCCCTCTGGCTGGGGGTGCCCCAGTCCACTTCCAACTCGCCCACACTGGAGTCCCTTGAGGGCAAAGCCTGGGGCTAGAGCCTCGGAGCCCCCACCTCCTAAGGCCAGGCCTTGACCATGTTTTCTATGAACGTTCTCAACTATCCACCTTTTGGGTTAGCTCCAGTGATGGAAACTTTCCAGCCGAGGAGGCCGCTTGTTTTGGAAAGTTCCTGGGGGAGCCGCCCCCGCCCGCCCGCCTAGTTCCCACGCTCCTTATCACTCGGCGCTAGGGGGGCGCCGTGCTTTGCCGGCCTAGCTCCTCCCCAGCTGGCGGTCTCGGCCCTGCCTTTCCCCTCCTTCCCACCGAACAGTTCCCCCCTCCAGCCCGCCTGCCAAGCCCTCCTGTTACAGGTGGGGAAACGGAAGCCTCACAGGACCCTCTGTGTGAGCCTGTGGGGCTGGGAGAGCCCGGTGCTACTGCTCAGGAAGGGGGAGGGGGGCAGCCTGCGCTGGAGGCGTCTCTGCTTTGGGGTCCGAATCCCGGCTTAGTCCTCTATCTCAGTTTCCCCAGGGACCCCGGAGGCCCAGCCTCCCTGCCCAGTTCCACCTCCTGCCTTGTGGCTGCAGCCGGGAGCTCACTTGCAACCTTAATGTCTTCTTTTGTAAGATGAGGATAAACGGGCTGAGGTGTGAAGTGAATCAAAGCGCGCCGCGCTCGGGCGGGGGTCTGCGACCCACGTGGTGGCCTGGCCGAGCCCGGCGAGGCAGGGACCCCATAGCCATGGCGGCTTGGGGCTGTGGGGCCTCGAACCCGAGTCCAACGCTGGCGCGCCCTCCGCCCCGCGCGCCCCTCCCCCGGGCGC